AGGTAAGGATATGAAAACGGGCTTTCTCGGAACCGACTGGTCTGTAGATTTTGGCCGTAAAGGGCAACTGTATTTTTGGATGAAACGCAGGGGGTAGCAAGGCTTAAGTAGGGCCTCTTTTCTGCAGGCAAACTCTGCCGGTAGGGTCTTACTGGAGCAGATATTCCTGGCTCTCTGGAAAAGGTTAAGTACAAAATTCCGTTTCCACTGTATAGGCACAAAACTGGTAAAATGTAGATATTGGCCATTCCATGTAGTCTTGTGGAAAACAGTGCGCCTTATTGACCCATCATCCTCCCTCATTTACAATTCCTATAGAGGGCTCTTTTTATTAAAATCCGTAAACTTTTATATTATATCTGCCGCTTGCGTTCATATCGCACACCGTAAGCCCCAATCTGGCAATTTATAGATGCCTGCATTCTTTTCTGTCACCCAGTTACTTTTCCAGCTTTACTTAAGAAAAAGACCTGGTCACTATTAAACGTAGCCGCCAAATGGTCTTTTCAGCTGCCGGTGTTTTCTGTGCTCTTTTTAGCTGACCTTATAATACAGCGAGACTTCAAAACGGCTAAGCAATTTGCTAATCGTATCCTTAGTGAGGTCGCTCACCCTTTCCACTCTGAACTAATGGCAGCAAAGTCTTCCCGTACTATGCGCCGAGGCTTCAGTCATATGTCTTGCCGTACATCGGCATGACAGCACTCTCTAATCCCCTTCTTAGCACGCTACCTCACGTGCGAAGAAACGAAAATTGAGAAGTTGAAAGCTGACCTATCTCCATAACAGATGTGGATATCGAGCAAACCTTAAACTTTGAGTATTCTGTGACCCTTTACATTTTAACATTACCCCTTACCTTACCTTAATCCTTGCTCTCCGTGAATGGAGCCATTTTTGCTGAAAATTTTGGATATTGTCTTCAAAATAAAGCATTCTCTCTCTGTCTCTCAGTCGCAAATACACCCTCCCTTCCCCAACAACTAACCGTCCGGCGCGGACCGGCCCGACGAAGACTGATGCAGAAACGGTTCGAGTTGAAGTCGCTGACAGCGTTCACGTTTACTCGTCTACTATATGGCGAACAAAAGTGTAAGCAAGCATTCCTTCTCGTAAATGTAACATTATGCGTTATTTTCTGTGAAGTTACAATAGTAGTGGTAGTAGCAGTAGTAGCGAAATGGCGGCTTAGGAAATGCTGCGGCAAACGGTTTCTCACGAAAATGCACCAACATGAACTCGCCGTGGGACGAGCTTTCTTTGGTAGCCTCTCACGCATCCTCGCCAGGGCACGGCTTCGATTTCGAACATGTGCGAATACTGGGTCAGTCGGACGACCGAATCTCACGCCTCTTGCAGGGGGCATGGCACTCGCACGCGGATTCGATTAACAGGCATATCGATCTGCCTGATGCCTATCTCGCGTTGCGCACAAAAAATCGATAGCAGAGCTGAAGGTCATTCCCAGCAGATTTGAGCTAAATACGCACTGAGCTGTACGTTATTTATTCCTTGACAATGGCCTCGAGTGAGAGTCCGAAGCGTCGGGCAAATAAAATACTGGTCTCAGAGAACGTCTTTCCGCCTTCTATTCAATTACCTGGACCTCGCATATTTTCGACTATTCAGAAATGCTGTTTGGGCACCCTTAGCTTACTGTATCAGAGTTCCTTTGACACACTTGTAGAAAACTCGGCGGCCTCTGTGGGGTTCGAACCCACGTCAGTAAGGGGAGGTTCTGATACAGTCAACGCTATAGCCAACTGAGTTACGAAGTCCGCACACCGGAGGCCGTGAGTTTAATTACATTTGGGTCGGTTAACCTACCTAGCCAACTGCAGCATATGGAGTCCACCAATAATGATGCACCAAGCTGACTACTGTCTAAGCAGGACTTCCTAAGTAATCGATCTA